TACCAATAACTGGTTCAATTTATCGTATGATCTTAACATACAGAAGGATCAGCTCGCTCAACTTCTTAGAGTGGCATCCACTGATCGACTCTTCCAGTTTGATGGTCTACTTCACGAACAGTGTGAAGGAGTTGCAATGGGATTCCCCCTTGGTCCTTTATTAGCCAATGTGTTTATGTGCCATTTGGAAGAAAGACTATCTGATGAGGATCTAATGCGGCGTTATGTTGATGACACGCTTGTGATAATGCCTGGACCCGATGTAGCTGAAAGTTTCCTTGATGTACTCAATGGACTCCACCCTAGTATTGATTTTACTATGGAGCTTTCCAACCACGACTCAATTCCTTTTATTGGAATGTTCATAACGAAGAACGGCAACAAGTTGGAGACCAAGGTCTATCGTAAATCTACAAACACGGGCCTACTACTCCATTTTCAAACCCACACCGATTTACGCTATAAGAATTGTCTTGTTAAAACAATGGTTCATCGTGCAAGGGAATTGTCCTCTACGCATCAGGCATTCGTTGATGAATGTAAACATCTACAATCTATGTTTACTCACTTTGGATATCCAAGTTCGTTAGTGAATGGCACCATTGATGAATGTGATTATTCCCCAACACAAGAGGCTAAGACGAAACTTGTTACTGATGAAACTTTAAGAGCCAGCATCCCGTTTAAAGATCAAACCTTGGCGAACACGGTTCTGTCCTGGTGTACCGGTTCACAAGGGAATTACCATTGTTCTTTCTTTGTTTAGGAGTCATTGGTTAGCTGTTGTGTATTGTTCGGTCTTTTGTAACGGCACTTGTGAACCGGTACACGAGGACAGAACCGCGAGCTCAGTTGAAAAGCAGATGCGGGACCTCAGTTCTATGATTGGCATTGATGTACGACCAGTATTCACCAGCAACAACAACAACAACAACAAATTTTATTTAAGCTTAATAAGAAAATTACAATGCTTGGGCCCGCAAGTAGCTAGGGCTATTCGAGGCGGGCACAAGAGAGGAAAATAAAAAAAAAAATTTTATAGAAAATGAATATTTGTATGTATAATTATAATATATAGACGAACAATCCTAAAAGAAAACAAGTTTGCCGTGTGGCTTATAGACAGAATGAAACAGGAGGGCAGACTGTAGTATATACTGGAAGTACACACAGTTATAAGTTTGAGAATTGTACTCTAATATCAGCAATTCTTACATAATCATTCTCTTTTTTTCCGAGTTTCAAAGAGTTTTTCCTTTAGTGCAAGAAACTTGAGCATAATCAAGCCACCTATTGTAAATCAGCACAGCGTTGTTTATTGTTATAAATGTGATTTGTGCGATTCAAATTATGTCGGATTTACGACACGCCATTTATTTCAACGCATTGCTGATCATCGATATTCTGCCATTGGTCGTCAGCTGAAAGATGCTCATGGGAACGTTAACTTACTCAATGAGAGCCAATTTCGGGTGCTTAAAAAATGCAGCACGAAATGGGGTTGCCTGGTCAACGAAATGTTGCACATAAGAACATAAGATCTAATTCAAACACCCACATTCTCACTTGATAATGACGTTCTGGAAACGTCGTGTAATGTTTTTCAACATTTTATCGCAGATTTTTATTGTAAAAAGTTGGAGTAGCATAAAATAGGCGAAACGTGTTGCGCATAAAATGGACACAACGTAAAAAATATTTCAACTATCAAAATTTCCTGACACACTTTCGTTCGTCATTATCCCTGGGATGTTTGGCGAAATTTCACGAAAACCGGTCAAATCTACATACCCTATAAATTCGCTCAAAGTGGATGTATTCCGCTCAAAATCAAATGCGATATTTTAGCTCCTATAAAGGGTTTGTAAACAGCTAGCGCCACACCTATTATCTCGCCTCTCCTTGCGTCAGTGACAATCCATCAAGATTTTCCCGGGAAAAGTACCGCATGACAGTCAGGTTTTTTTTTTTTCATCTCGCTCTGTTGAACTTCGAGTAATGGGAAAAATTGACAAAGAAAAAACCCGCGGCAAAAAAGGTAAAGCTGGAGAAATTGTTGAAAAGCAAAACAGCAAATCGACAGACAGCTTAAGTAATACCCTTATCGCTGAAATGAGTTCCCTCGGGTAGGTTTATTCATGCTTTCGTACGATTCGAGGCGATTGCCTATGTTTTGTATCAAGGCCAATACCTGCTTATTGAAAGGAACGTCGCTTTTAACCTAATGTACGACAAATGTAGATTTGATGGTGACTTCTTTGTTCGTCATTTGGATGCCAGCGTTGCGAGAGGGGGTGCCAGGACTTTTTTTTTTTTTTTTCCTGACAAAATGGTTCCATTTCTCTCTTCTTTGGGCCTGTTTTTTCTATTTCTATGCCCAGGGACTCCTCTCTAATTTTGATTTCTGTTTTTTTACCCATGAGAAAAGACTTTCCACCAGCAGAGAACTTTACGTCTGAATTTTGTCAAGTGCGCGATGTAAACAAAAGATTGCCGCGAGCATTCCCCCAGGGGGTTCGCCCATCTACGAGATTATCACACCTTCCCGATTTATTAACTTTTATTTGAAAATACGTTTTCCTAAATAAGTCGGACGCTTTTTGAGATTTAAAATTTTTTCTCTTTGTAAACGTTTGGTAAAATATCGAACTTCAATCTAGTCCAATAAAAGAAAAAACGATTTTTTCGGCCTCTGAAGGTGGAAAGTAATCTTAAATTTGACTTTTCATTTTGTTATAGAGATACCATTAATAGTAAATAGCCATTTTACATGTTTTTATTGTATTAGTATTAAGTTATAATGCTACACATAGGTTAGTTATAGCTTTACTTTTAAAAGCTGATCCATTTTATAGGGTAAATAAGGTTTCTTATGTCATCTTAACTAACGCCCAATAACAGGTGTCTTATTGCAGCCAAAAGTCTAATAACGACTCTATGGAATAATTAGGAAAATGAAAGCAGTTCATTGGTATATCATCTTAAAGAAATTGTGATGATTATAATTAATCGGGAAAACAAAACTCATTTTGGTAAATTATAAGTGAAGGCACCATTTTAGAGTAAAAAAAAAGTAAACCATAACCTTTCTATTACTAGTAGCTTGTAAGAGTTTAATCTGGTGTATCTTTCTAAAGGCCAAGCTGCAGTGTAGACACACTGATCAATGGCTGATGCAAAACAAGTTGACTATTCCACCTGCTTTCTTTATTTCCCTTAATCTAGGTTAATTTAGTAGTTCTTTTAATAATCATCCTTAACCATTGTCAATTAATAGAACAATAAAGTTGACCTTAGTCAGTACGACCTGAGCATTTAAAAATATATATTTCTTTTACTTTTTTGTTAGTCATATAAATGTAATACTCCTTACAGTTCAACACCGAATGCTTGTGGTTAGGTTTTGACCATGGTTCTGGCAGGACATGGACTACATTTGGATCAATAAAAGTCATAAAATAGACCACTAATTGTTCTCGAACAAATAAGATAAGACATTACACTATATTTTGTTACTTAAGACTGGTCAAGACTATAAAAAGTAAAGATATAGATTTGAGAAAAGATTTTGGATACTATTTGTGATGTCTAAAGAGGCCAAATATTTCAACATGAACGAGTTTCACAAAGGGGTATAGGGGACCCTCTAAGTAGTACTGCTACACTTTCCAGATGGGAATTGCTAGTCTATCAAAGGTTACCTTACAGCATTTTTTCTGGTTTCACTGGATGTTTACCAATAACCATTCACATTTCTTAGCCTGTGTACAGCCGCCCCAACCCCTTGAAAAAAATCGATTTTTTTGAGGGGATGGGGCAGCTGTACACAGGTTAATAGGGACCTGAAGAAACCACGACCGCGATGGCAACGAGGACATGGAAAAACAAGAGATCTAATTGGTAGAACAATAACTCAGCACGTGCGTTTTGAAACTTTGTACATTTCTTAGCTGTCCTATGTAAAACAACAACGTGAAATCCAAAATTTGTATCGTCTGCGAACCAAAACCGCGACGGCAAATTATTTTAATTTCCATTTGGAACTCAACGGCTACTTTGTACGTCATGCTGAAGTTGAGCGGTGGCGCTGTACGAAACAGTAAGCTCCTGCAGCCATTTTTGAAATCCTAACTAAGAGTAGAAATTCATTTTTAATCAAAGTCTTCCTTGGTGTCGCTATCGTGGTTTCTTAAGGTCCCTAATATTTCTGAGTGGAGAGAGGCACTGGGAGAGTAATGTGTCCTCTCCAAGAACACAACACAATGACCTCATCAGGTCTTGATTCCAGTCCTTTTTTTCTGGATAATTTGACTTTATCAACTGAATTGTTGTAAATTGGTCACTGTAAAGGGTCTCTAAGGCTAATTTAAGCTATGGTGGCCAATTCACATCATCATTTCAGTTGATAAAACCAAATTATCTTGTTATACCTCCCACTGATGAAGCACCACACTTTCATTAGAAATTTACCCTCTTTATTCTCTTCCCTGAGGTCTGGCGTGTTAAATGTTAAGCCACCAGGTCTCTCTCTTGTTTGAGGTTAGAGGTTGATGAGGAAGATTGGTAATGATGTATCTGAGGGGGCTTAATCCCTTATAGTAGCTACATTGGCATGTGCTTCCCTAAAGGGTGATATGTTTGGGTTGTTTTGGTCTGAAAATAAATGTGGATTTTGGTAAACTTTTCAAGGGAACCCCAGGACTATTTTTACATATTTGTCTTTTCATATCCATACAGATAATAGAGAAAGAGAAGTAACTAAAAGACATCACTTGAACTGAGTTTTCAATTTAGTTTTACCATTTCATGCCTTTGGCACTGATGCAAAGCTCAATATATAGCACCATAGAAATCATCGAACACGGAATTGCAAAACCAGGTATAACTGTTAGAATCTCAGAATCTGGTCTCAGCGACTGACAGTCATGTTCTGAATCAGATAAGGAAAAAATACGACCCACATTTCTACTCTTTAATGACCCCCTGTTCACTTTACTTACCTTTATAATCAGAGTTGTCCTTCAAACTTTGCACCTCCGTTACAAACATTTTTATGTGAGTCCAAAATAAGGGATTCAGACCCCAAAATCGAACAGGGAGGGAACTGCTGCCTTCCTCTGGTTTATCGCCCATATTAATGATTGTTTCGTTTCATATAGTGATGATATATTTTCTTAACTTTTAACGAAACATGGATGGGGTTCATATTTCATCTTTCCCGCGCACGTGACTCTGGGAGTCTGGGAAGGAATTGTCGTGTAACGCCTGGTTAATTTTAACATTTTTGCTACAGGCCGCTCGACCACATCAATAATATCGTAAACGAGCGGGGGTGGCTCTTATTGTTTAAGAAAATACAATGGTTGTTTAATTTCTATTATAATGATATGGATAGCCTAAAGACCGAAGACATCATTACAGCAAGATCCAGGTATCCATCAGGTGCGTTTAACATGGATGACGTCCCACAATTGAAAAGGCGACCTAGCGATGCAATTTCAAGAGAAGATCAGGAGAAGGACATTGAGGCCGCTTTCGGGAAAATTCTAGACAATATAGGAGAGGATAAAACTCGTCAGGGTCTTTTAAAAACGCCCTCTCGGGCGGCGAAGGCAATGTTGTATTTTACGAAGGGGTACGAGGAGACAATTTCTGGTGAGTGTAATAAATCCCGCTAAGATTTCCCTTATTTAATGTTACTTGGTTTGATACGATCAACAAACGGTTAAAGAAACTGAGATCTCACGTTAGTAAATCAATCTTCCATGGGTCTTTTCGTCGCTTAATGAATTACGTGAGTCATTTGTCACTAAATTTTTGGAAACCGTAAAAAACTCAAACGTAATGCCTTGCATGCTGTACTAATTACACGCTTATTATGAAGACTTACTTTTACGGTGTAAAAACAATTAGAAAGTATTTAAGAAGCACTTAGCAGATTTTTATTTTTATATTCGTATAATTTCACTTTGTTTTGCTAATTAAGGGAAGCTCATTATAATATCTAGCAGCTTGAGAGGTTCTATGGTTTATGTTTGTATATAATCTTTGCAGCATTTTGGTTTCTACTGGGGATGGAAATACCTATTTAATCATATTAGGAAAATGCTTTGAATTTAAAGAGACTCTTGACCGTTTTACTTTTGTTTTGGTCATTCTGTTTGCATCCACATTTGCTAATGTTGACGATACAAAGAACTGTCAATTGGAAATCAATTGGAAGCCAATTGCATCATTTCCCTCTACTGTCATGTACTTGCGTTACTTGGTCAATAAATGTCTGACTGGTGGAAAATTATGAGCTTGAGGCTTAAGATTGCTGTGATCCTATCCGCCTTATAAATGGATTTTTAATCACACATACGCAGCCCCAGGGTTTTCATTGGAAAATGTAACAGGTGTAAGATCTAAATTGAGTAATACCTGGGTACCTGCATTGCTTCATCAATAAATGTAAGGCTGTGCTCTAAGGAAAATTGAAGTGAGCCCAGTGCTCAGAAACTGAAATCCAGAGTGCCTAGCATATGCTTTTTAAATATGAAAAAACAATTACTAACTTGCCTAAGAGCAAAACTAAGATGCCAGGGGCCACCAGGCACTGCTAGACCATAACCCTGAATGTGTCACTGGTATAGCTCTGGTAGAAGATTATGAGCTCAAGATTTCTGTGATCCTTTCTACTTTGACAAAGAATTTTGAATCACACATATACAGCCCCAGGGTTGTCATTTAAAAGTGCAAAAGATGACCGATATGAACTTACTAGACTAACAGTACTTGTGTTGTAATTGTGGTGTGTTACTAACATGCCCTCTTAAGGGCCAGTCAGGCACATTCTCTTCTATAAATAATTTGAAATTTGAAAACCTCTAATATGTGATTTCCAGCATTCTGAGATATATTTGAGTCATTTTTTTTAGCCATACATTAATGTTAGAATCAGTTCAAAAAATTGATCATGACTCACAAAGTAGCTGGTGCCAAACTGTCGGATAGCCAGTGGGTATCTGGAGCTTTCCAGCTTCTAATGACAACCTTAATCACATAACACTGCATCATTTACCAAATGAATGTAATCATTTCGTGTTTTATAATTAAGGGAAAATTATTTCCCCAATACCTGATGTTTTAAGAATGTCATATAAATGAATTTGATAAAAATGTTTTGAATTAAATGATGACAAGGAGAAAAAAAATATCCTTAATTAATTTTATCATATGCTAAGTATATGATGCAAAGGGTAACTTAAGGGTAATTTCTCTGACTTGTTTTATCTCCCCAAGCCTTGGAGCCATGCCAGAATTTTAATGTATCAAAAATGGCCTATTCTCTCTGCAACCTCATTGCATTCTAGAAATATTTTTCTTCTTATTTGTGTTTGTGTTTGGAAGTGAAATGGAAATCTAACAAACTCATTTATTTGCAAGGCTGTGCTCTAAGGAAAATTGAATGGAGTCCAGTGCTCTGAAACTGTGAAATCCAGGGTGCCTAGCATATGCTTTGTATGAAAAAACTAAAGTTCCTTAGTCACCCAAGAGCAAAAGTAAGGTGCCAGGGGCCACCGGGCACTGCTAGACCATAGCCCTTGATTTGTAACACAGTAAATGGCATAAACTCAGGGTAAGCATGGTAAATACCAATGACTACCAAACAAATTGCCATTCGAAAAACTCAAAACTTTCAACTCCTCCAAAAGAAACTTGCACACGTAAAAAAAGAGTCTGCGGGATTTGCTGACAACTAATATATATATATATATATAATCTCAAAGTATGCACACGCAAGTCAAGCGCGCATAAGTTTGGTAACGTCTCTTCACTAATGCAATTATTCTCATTACAGATGTTCTTAACGATGCTGTATTTGATGAAAATCATGATGAACTTGTCATAGTTAAGGATATTGACATGTTTTCCTTGTGTGAGCATCATTTAGTACCATTCATGGGAAAGGTAAAAATTTGAATCTACTACAATAATGGGAGACTCTGAACAATTATAAGAATAGTAATGTAATAATATAATAGAAATTTACATTGCAGAAGTTCTATACACAAATTCCATTGGGCCCTGTTAATGTCTTATTGAAATAACACATTTTAATAAAGGCTAGAGTAATTAAAATTCCAAATTAAGTTTTAAAAACTGTTTTACAAACAATGTGTTAAGTGCACAATAAAATATAAAATCAGGACTAACTAAAATAAAAAGAAATCTAATTATTTTACGAATGCCTTTCAAAAGTGAAATAATTAATAATAATCTTTTGTTGAATATCATTGAACAAGAAGTAGATCAAATTGAACTAAAGAGGAGATTCCAAAGTCTAGGGGCAGCACTACTAATTGATCCACAAACTGATGTTGCTTTGTTGCTCAGTCAGTGAATATGTGATCAGCAAAATATTGCAAATTTATTTTTGTGTGTATCATGTTCTTCTCATTAAACAGGTTCATATTGGCTACTTACCCAACAAGAAAGTTGTAGGACTCAGTAAACTCGCTAGGTAAGAATTTGAAATCCAGCTTTAACTGACCACAACATGAAGGTATGATTCCGTATTAGTAGTAGGTAGCAATTAATTTCATGTAAATGTGTAATTAATAATGTCAGTAAATGTTAGTACATATTAGTAATGTATATATTAAGTAATGATGCATATATTCAAATAAAAAATTAAAAGAAATATATAAATTATATAATTAGAGAGAGGTTACGCGAATTAACAAACTTATCAGTATTTGCTCTTTGCAGGATTGTAGAAATTTTCAGTCGTCGTTTACAAGGTTAGTGTTCAAAACTGCCAAATGAATATGTTAATTATGAGAGGCGGTTCATGAATTGGAAAACTGTTTATCCTAACAGAAGAGACAACTCACAGCAGATTCTTAGACAATACTTTTGTGGACAATTTATTAACTAAGATTCAAGTAATTGTCAAAAATTCTGGTAGACATTAATTCTCTTCTTGACCAGTTAGACTCAAGGCCTTTAAATTGTAAAAACCCCTCTGGGGCTAGTGAATGTTAGGTTTGTGTAAAGGCATGAAATGCTAAAACAACAGCAAAAACCGCTGGCTAATTATGTGTTACTCCAGTTGGACATTTAGACTGCTAAAGTTATAAGATTATACAAAGAGTATCAATTAACTTTGGCCTAGTTTTGTTTTTTTTATTTTTGCTTCGATATCAAGTTTTTAAATATAATTATTGTAAGTTATTGATAATGATTCTCCTTTTGATGTAGTTCAAGAACGTTTAACAAAACAGATTGCTATGGCTTTAGCCGAAGCTGTCAATCCAGCTGGGGTGGCTGTGGTGATTGAGGCCACGTAAGTATGACACAATAATGAGCTAAAAGAATCACATCAGTATTTACGTTAAAAGCTCTCATAAGCCCCCTTCTTTACTGGGCCAAATTTAATGCATTTTGTTGTGAGTTTCTGATGATTTCTCAGTATTACTGTGTGCAAGAAAAAGCAATAAAGTGTATAAAAAAATAAATCTTTTCCCCCAGTTTTAGTTTTGTTTGATATGTGTAAAAAAACTGTAATTCTGAAGTTACGACAAATTTTAAATTTTGTTGAGCCCCTTATTTGTGTCCAAAAATATTTTGCTATTTTGGCCTGAAATTTATAGCAAAGATGCGTGGCCAAAAAGTCACATGACTTTTCCTTGTGACTTCAGTTGATTTGACTTCATCTAGGGCTTTATTTTTATTCATCTACTACAATGAGAATGTTCCCTAAATGATCAAGATACAACATTTTAGACTTCAAGAGAGAATAAAGAGTTCTCTTTACTGTTTAACTCCCATGAATGACCAAATTGTAATTTCTCATAACAATATCAATCAGGGCTGTAGCCAGACTTCAGAACAAGATGAGGCAAGTTTCGAACATCGAAGGTGCGAGCTAATTGGGGGGGTCTGGGGGAATGCCCCCTCAGAAACTTTTGAAATCTAGAGGCTCAGAAATGCTCTTTTAAGCATTTTCCATGGCAGTTTTCTTCAAAAACGTCAATCTTCAAAAAAAAAACAAAAAAAAAAAGACCAAACTCAAAACGAGGCAATTGCCTCCTCTTGCCTCATGTTAGCTACAGCCATGTCAATGCAATATCAAACAGGTAAGGGATGAGAATAAAGAAAACTATCAATTAGCAGATAACAAGTTGATCCAAAACCAAACTCTCCAAACTAACATCATAAGAACTGTATGGCAGACAGTAAGGAGAATTACTTATAAGATCAAGGGAGTGAAACAGTTTATTTTAATATTTCTTTAATTGAATGTCTTAGGCACATGTGTATGGTTATGCGTGGAGTGCAAAAGCCAAGTAGCAAGACTGTGACTAGTTGTATGCTGGGAGTGCTGCGAGAGGATCCGCGATCACGGGATGAGTTCTTGACCCTAATTAGAAATAGCAATATATAGTTTGTTATTCATTTCCTGTTGAAGGGTGTATTTGACTTTATAGCAAATGTATTTCTCTAAATAAGAGTGCTCTATTAAATGCTTCACCCCTAGCTTCCCTGGCCCCAAATAAGCACCCACCTCCTAGGATGCAATGTCAAACCAGCACCCCTCTCAAATAAGTGCCCCCCCCCTCCTCTTTCTCTTTCTTAAATTATGATACCCTATTTATACCATCTGAAAGTAAATGGTTTGAACCGGGGGGGGGGGGAGGGGGTAACATCTGACAGTGTAATCTGATCGTCCGGGTGAGTGTAGTTCTGAGAAGGACTGTTAAGTCGTCATCAGAGTCAAGTGAATAATTATTGTCAGTTGAATGTTTGAATAAAATGATTGGTCAGTTTTTCTGTGATGTTATCGGTAAGACTGGTCTTATTGGTAAGACTCAAGTAACATAAGTGCTTGCAGAGTTCCTTTGTATATGTGCTCACTTTAAAGTGCCCCCCTTGATTAAGCCCCCTCGTTCCACCCTTACCTTCCAGTAAGCACCCCTCATTTAAGTTCCTGGGTGTTTATTCAAGGAAATGTGGTATCTTATTGCTTTATGTTTTCTAATTAGCACTGATCAATTATTTTGCACTTACTGACAAATGGTAAATGTAAATGTAATATATTTGATGATTTTTTCACTGATAATATGTGCAGTTTATTGCACCTAATAAAGCATACACGAGAAGCATTCAAAATTTGGGAATATTTTAACATCACAAATATTTTTGTAATATTTTAAAACTCTGAACTTAATTAAGCTGTGTTTAACTTAACTGCTATATTTATATAATTTTAAAAAAATGAATTCTTTGGATTTATTTTGAAGTTACAGGTAGATATCTTGAAAAAAAACCATGGACAATGAGTATTTTTTCTTTAAAAGCGCAATTGTTTATTTACTTTAGTGGTTGGAAAGTGGACTGTGTCGACCCTTTTAAACCTTTAAGGTGACCAGCGTCTAATTTGTCGTTACAGTTTTACTGCTGAATCATTCACTGAGACCATGAGCATAAAGGAAATTATCACAAACTTAAGAAGCTTTGATTGTTAAATTTATTCTCCCTGCCAGTACTAAATGAAAGGTATAGAAAAAAGTATGGGGAATATGGATACCGATGTTAGGTAAAGGGTTAAGACTGCAGCTGTACACTAGCTAGAGATACAAGTGTCATATTACATTACCACTCAGATATGATAAAATACATAACTAGATTGATGTTAAGTATTTATTGTCTTTTGATTTACAGTACTTTCATTTAACATGCAAAGTCAGACGTCACGGGCTAAATTTGTGATTTTGTACCATGCTTCTATTTATCAGTTGTAAATACTAAAACAGTGGGTAGCGTCAAAGGCACACTCTGATTGGCTACTTAAACTTCGAATATCCTTTGCCATTCATCTCCGAGCAACGCTTGCGGCATTTGCGCTCGAAAATATTGTAAGCTTTTCAGGAATAAATGAGCTAAAATCAACTTTTTGTGCTTTTTGTTATTTCACGTTTTCAGCTGTCTCGGGAAAGTTTTTCGGAAAATAAAGGAGAAAGGTGCACGCGACAATCTCGAAAGGTAATCTGGGTATCCAGTTATCTATGAATTTAACAAGTCAAATAAATAAATAAATTCATCAAACCCGTTTCTGTAACTATTACTGCATCCTGGAATACAGCAGTTATAGTGCGCAATGTTTGTTTACCTTCACGCTGTCGGTATATACTTCATGGAAGGCAGCCATATATGTTGCATATGTACATTGGGCTTATAATTTATGTACGCCTAAGT